TATATTTTATATCATTTATTCCATTATTTTATTACATTTAGTGTTAAGTAACCTTTTAAATTTTCACTAAAGTTTTTATGATATGATAGAATTGCATAAGATTTATTATTTATAATATTTTTGATATCACTGGTGCTGACTGAAAGTAAGCTATTGTACGGTTCATATTATTAATGAATCTAACTGAATAACTGGTGTTATTACATTTATGTCGTCTCATTTCTTCTTTAAAAAATTTATTACTACAGAGTTTCACAGTTCTGTCTATTACAGCAGTAGCTAAAGATGTGATAATGTGAGTTAAAGTTTGAATATTTATCCGTTTATATTTAACAGGTTTACGATAAACATGGTCTTGTAGCAATTACCAGAGATAATTATCAAGACATTAAAAGTCAAACTAGGTGGTGCACCGGCATCATCAAAGAAAGATACTAACTAAACAGCTGAGTCTAGGATCACTTAATTATTCACTCATGCAACAAACTCCACTGTGACAAAGGATACGAACTCTGTGCGGATTGGATGAACATCGTGCCCCTGTTACCGAATAACCATTTAACCGGTACCACGTTCCAAAGACTCGCCGTATGGAAAGAATAGCTGCGAACCGCAAAAAGCACTTCTGAAATTGAAACCAATTCCTTATCTTGAAGAAAGAATGTATGACATGGTCAAAAACCTCGGTACTGATTAATCATCCACCTGACCAACTGTTTACATTGTCTACAAATAATCCATTTCAGGCCGTTTTCAGGAGACCACCTACGAATGAAGGAAACGCTCAATCTTCGAAAGATCAATATGTAAACATGAGAAACTGTTCAGCTGCCAGGTTCATTTTCGCCAATAAAATAGACCTATTCTGATGAATCAAAGCCATTAATGTGCAAATCAAAGAATTTACTGACGTTCGTTTCGTCGCTGAAGATCCCGAAAATGCCATCAATATAACGTTACTGACGATCAGCTTAGTAAGTCTATCAAAGAACGATCCATCAAATATTGTTACCATACGAAACATGAAAAAAAACTTTATGATTATACATGGCGACTATGCTTCCAAACTGCATTACACTTTTACAAGTGATCCACCAGTTTAAACCCAAATCATCTGTTTGGTTCGACGAATGCCATGTTCCCCTCAGTTCAGTCACTTTCCATTATTTTTAGAATAAGGTTAAAAGAGGAAAATTACTTCCAGTGTCTACACACCACCGATTCGTCTGTCCCATTGGATCCTTCTCAACGAGAACAGCTACGACATTGCCGGCTGTTAAACTGAGTTCAGCGTTGGACCTCGCGATGTACGATGACGTTACTTCGAACAACTTATCGGACTGATATTTATGCGTCAGTAGCAGTGGATCACACTGCACCTAAAAAAACAGCATTGAACAAGGAAATGAAAGAAATACTTTCTGAGCGAAGCAAATGACTCACTGACGAAGTAATTCCCTTCGACAAGTTTTCGACTGCGACACTGCGAGTACGGTTCATCAACGGTCGGTGTTCAGCGGCGTCACGGATGACGGACAAACAACGCGCCGTAACCCTCGAATTACTATTGGCGAAGAGCTTTTCAAGTTTGCTTCTGCACAGACGTAGGGAGCAATCGAGGTTCTGTGGTACCACCTCATCCTTGGCTGCACAATGAACAGAACTGCGGTCGAACGCAGACCTGAGTTCAGCCTTTGTCGCTTTTAGAAAACGCTGTTGGGCAAACGCGAGAGCGCCAAAGGACATGTTTAATATCCTAGACGAACTTTCGTTGAACAGCGGGAGGTCATTGAGCAACTGGGAATTAAGAGCCTCGTATTCCGCTTGGGCTCGCTTCATTTCCTCCTCAGCCTAACAAAGATTAGTTTATGCTCAGGAACTAAATTACTATACAAATTTTAAAGAGTGAATTCATGTTTTTATCATATCTGTATATACTAAAAGAAATAAATGGCATGTGCAATATAAAAAAACATCTTGACAGCTATGAAACTCAAGTAACAATATGACTGTGAATGTAATACACAGATCAGCGTATATTTGGCACACAGTAGTGCCGAGAGCCAAGCAGCTATAAGTTCTTCGCGATAAACAACTACCAGCAACGATTAGAACCAGACTAGTCAAAAACTGACAAAACAAACGGCAAATGGATCACTGGCCTTGACAAAACCATTTTATACTATGCTGAGCTGAATAACTGTGTTCTGTTGTAAACAATCACATAGCTGCATCAATACTGATAACAGTTCCTAATCAACAACCTCACCTGACCAATTTTGATCGAGTCGCCGGTTTTAATCTGC